TGGTCTGGGGGGGGGAAGCTCCCCAGAGCTGGAGGGGTGCACGCAGCGCCTCGCCGGGCCCTGATGCGGATCCAGCCCTGATGCGGGGCCCCGATGCAGGACCCAGCTGCGCTGCGCTGACTTCACGTGGGCTGAATGCAGACATGACCTCTGAACTGGTATTTCCACCTGACGTTGGGCAAGATCGTCGGAGCAAGTTTTTGTGTTTTTCTTCATTAGCCAGAGGGTGCATGCAGGGGGTTGGGGGGAGGGAGGAGGGCTGGAGGGTAAGGTTGGAGGAGTGGGGGGAATCAGCCCTCCACAGGGAGCTCAGACCCTGTCCTGCAGAGCCAGCAGGGATGCGGTGGTTAAGGCACCGGATGGCTTGGAGGTTCGAGTCCCAGACCCGGCGGCCTGAAAAAAAAAAAAAAAACACGCCAGGTGCATGTATGTGGGCGTGCGTGCCCAAAATCCCAAGAGGACAATGGAGCAGAAGGAGAAGTCGTGGCCCTCCTCCCTGGGTTGGTTTCCCTTTTCCTCTCTGTTTCTCTCCCTTGCAGCTATGACAAAAGCTTTAAAAAAACAAATACGGGACTAGCAGTTTGCGTAATGGCTGTGTCGCTGGACTCCCACGTGGTCGACCGCAGCTCGCATCCCGGACCCGTTGGCTTAAAACTCACGCCGGGTGAGTGAGAAAGCAAGTTACCAACTCCAGGACTCGAACCGTGGTCAGCTGTGAGGGGGTTGTCAAGGGCCTTAACCACCACACCACTTGCTGGTCCCAAATAATTCTTTAAAAAAAAAATAAAAAAGGAAGAGGGAGGAATATTCTGGAACTAGAGAAAAAGTAAGTAGTTGCACAACAGCGAGGCTGGAACTGCATGGAATGCCACTGAATTGCAGTCTTTAAAATAGTTATTTTTTTTCCTTTGGAGAGGTTTTTGCTATAGGGCACGTGCGCTCGCCAGACAGACAGAGAGAGACAGAAAGCGAGAAATCACCCCCCAGAGGGGATGGCCACGCCGCAATCCCTTCTCCTCCATTCTCCTCTTGGGATCTTGGGCACGCACGCACACGCGCCCGGCGTGAGTTTAAGCCACCGGGTCCAGGACGCGAACCGCGGTCGACTACGTGGGAATCCAGCGACATAGCCATGACGCTAACTGCTGGTCCCAAACCTGGGCTCTTTCTCTTGGGACTCAGCTTCCTGGCATACCCAGAGTAAAATGCTTTCTGTATTTTATTAGTTTTTTTTTTTGCCTACCATAGTAAAAGCGCTCACCAGAGAGAGAGAGAGACAGAGACAGAGAGAGGGAAAGTGAGAAATCCCCCCAGGGGGATGGCCATGCTATTCCTTCTTCGTTCTCCTCCTTTGTAGATTTGGACATGGGCACACACGTGGCTGGTATGATTTTCAAGCCTCTGGGTCTGGGATTTGAACCGTGCTGTAGGCCATGCGAGATCCAGTGCTTTTTTTTTTTTTGAGAGGTTTTTGCTATAGGGCGCGTGTGCTCACCAGACAGAAACAGAGAGACAGAAAGCGAGAAATCACCCCTAGGGGGGATGGCCACGCCGCAATCCCTTCTCCTCCATTCTCCTCTCGGGATCTTGGGCACGCACGCACATGCGCCCAGCGTGAGTTTTAAGCCACCGGGTCCGGGACATGAACTGTGGTCGACTACGTGGGAGTCCAGCGACATAGCCATTACGCCAACTGCTGGTCCCCGAGATTCAGCTTTGCCTTCTGTTTTCAAACATGCCCAAGCCCACGTGTGGCCAGAGGAGAGTAATGAAAGCTACCAGGAGGTGCCATGTCCCTGTCCTTTATCAGATGGGCAAAAACCCAAATCCAGATGAACGCCGAGGATGGGGTGACTAACAGGTGTTGTTCTGCCGTGCAGCCAGCAGAGGCACAGAGGTGGCACCAAGCCACGCAGTCACATCAGACCAGCAGAGGGACTATCACTAGGGAGACCGAAGCCACGGAGCCCACATGCATGCATACAAAACCCTAGGAGGAGGGATGTTCCCCTGGGATCGGACTTTAGACCATCCCTTTATAGACCTGAACCTGGCTTCCAGATACCCCGGGGCTTAGGGGACCGCAGGGCTCAGGGCTCTGGAGCGTGGCGTGGACTCTGAACTTATATCCGGGGAGCTGAGGCCCCCACCAGAGCTTCAAAGGGCTGCAAAATGGAGTGTTTGTGGCAGGGAGACGCAAAGTCTGGAAGTGCCCTCCCCACCCCTACTCACTGGTTGATTGATTGATGGAGAGATGTTTGCTCTAGGGCGCGTGCGCTCGCCAGACAGACAGAGAGAGACAGAGAGACAGAAAGCGAGAAGTCACCCCCCAGAGGGGATGGCCACACCGCAATCCCTTCTCCTCCATTCTCCTCTCGGGATCTTGGGCACGCACGCACACGCGCCCAGCGTGAGTTTTAAGCCACCGGGTCCAGGACGTGAACCATGGTCGACTACATAGGAGTCCAGGGACTGCTGGTCCCCCCTCCTAACAAGTTCTTGACAGTGTAGTCTACCTGCAGCTTTAGCCAGTTCCAATTGTGGGAACACGTGTGCCCAGCATGTTTGGGGGGGGTCTCTGGCCTCGAACATAGAACCTCCTGATGTGGGCATTACATTCCTGGCCTTCGTATTTGTATTTTTGTATTTGTTGCTGGTGTTTTGTTTTGTTTTGTTTTGTTTTTAAGAATTATTTATTTAACTCCATTTGTTGTTATTTTTAAATTTGATGAGAGAGAGAGAGAGAAAGGGAAAATGAGAAAGCAAGCCACCAGGTCCGGGACTCCAACCATGGTTAGCCATGTAGGAGTCCAGCACCTTTGACCAATACCCCGCCTGCCAGCCTCTTTCCTGGCCTTTTAAGTCCCTGCATTGATGAAACATCTCTTATACTGGACCTTCATATTTATTTATTTAAATTTGACCAGAGAGGGACAGAGTGAGAATGAGAGAGAGGGAAAGTGAGAAAGCAAGCTGCCAGGTCCAGGACTCGAACCACGGTCGGTCATGTGGGAGTCCAGTGCCCTTAACCACCACGCCACATGCTGGCCCCAAGAATAATTCTTTTTAAAATAATTATTTTATGTAACTTCATTTATTTATTTATGTATTTTTAATTTGATCAGAGAGGGACAGCGAGTCAGAGAGAAAGAGAGTGAATGTGAGAAAGCAAGCTGCCAGGTCCGGGGCTTGAACTGCAGTCGGCCATGTGGGAGTCCAGGGCCCTTAACCACCATTCCATCTGCTGGCTCCTCATTTTTACTTTTTTTTGGAGAGGTTTTCGCTATAGGGCGCATGCGCTCGCCAGACAGACAGAGAGAGACGGAGAGACAGAAAGCGAGAAATCACCCCTTGGGGGGATGGCCACGCCGCAATCCCTTCTCCTCCATTCTCCTCTCGGGATCTTGGGCACACACGCACACGCGCCCGGCGTGAGTTTAAGCCACCGGGTCCGGGACGCAAACCGCGGTCGACTACATGTGAGTCCAGCGACATAGCCATTACGCTAACTGCTGGTTCCCCTCATTTTTACTTTTTTAAAGAATTATTTATTTTGTTTTATTTATTCATTCATTTACTTTCATTTGACCAGAGAGAGAGAGAGGGAGGGAAAGTGAGAAAGCAAACTGCTAGGTCCGGGACTCAAACCACAATCGGCTATGTGGGAGTCTAGCACCTTAACCATCAACACACCTGCTGGCCCGATTTTTAAAATTCTGTCCAAAGGTGCACAAGTTCACCAGAGAGAAACAGAGACAGAGATACAGAAAGTGAGAAATCAGCCCCTAGGGGGAATGGCCACGCCGCAATCCCTTCTCCTCCATTCTCCTCTCGGGATCTTGGGCACATGCGCCCATGTTCTCAGTATGCCTGGCATGTTTTTCAAGCTGCCGGGTCCAGGACTTGAACTACACTGTGGGATCCAGTTTCCTTAACAACTACAGCACCAGCTGGGCCTGTTTGGGGCACCTTTCTAATCATGTAACACCCTCCCCATGACACCCAGTGGAAAGTTGCAGGTGAAAACGGAGACATAAGTCATTGATTGCTTAGCAAACTTCAAGGCTAGGCCTTCTGCCTCCAAAGCCTCCCAGATTCCAAGAACATTGTCCTGCTCACAGCCAGGCCCCCACTGCCTAGCATGTAGCAGTTGCTCAGTTAATATCTGTGGGCTAATGGCTTCCTCATGGAACTTGGAGCTTGCCATCTTTTGACCTGGGATCCCCTTTACCATCTTGAAAACTCCTACCCATACCTCAAAACCCTATGTAGAATGCCCCCTCCTTAGGCAGTCTTCCTGATTCCCTGGGAAGAGTCTTGGCATCACCTCTGGGTTCCTCTAATCCTGTCCCTCCCTCTTGCCTAGCTCGGAGCCCATGGGGCTAAGGGGTACATATGCCTGGCTATTAGTTTTCACTTGCTCATCCGTCTTCTCTTCCTCCCCTCTCTGACAATGTGAAGGAGACTTCCTGGGGCAGGAAAAAGGTTTGCCTTTTGAATTTTATTAGAAAATAAAGTGTTTATTCAAAGAACATTAGAAGGCCAGGGCCTGTGTGGGGTTTGCCAGGTGGAAGAGCACATTCTGGGGGAGCTCTTCTCCCCAGACTGCAGGCCTCAGGGAGGTGGGGTGGGGGACCCCGGCGTCCAGCAGGAGAGCAGGGAGCGGTCAACGAGCACCAGGTCTCAGTGCAGAGCTGGGGCCGGAGGGCTTTAGCAGCTCACGAGGTACATCCCTATGGGGACCAGGGCCCGTTAGGGTGGGGTTCCTTAGGGCTCCAAGTCATGCACTTCCCAGAATGTCCTCCAGGGGGCAGCCACACGCGCATGCGTCTTCGCCTCCCTCCCCATTGGCACCTTGGCCACGCCCCTCTTGCATAGGCCACGCCCACTCTGGGTCTCCAGGCCCCCCTGGACCTGCTGGACAAACCCAGCCCTGCAGCCTTAGCAGAAGCAGGAGGTGGGACTTGGGGGGCATGAGGGTCTCCCGTGGTTTTGGGGTGCACAGCTGCAGGGTGGGGGATTACCTGTGGCGAACCTCCTCTTGACCAGCGACATGCGGTAGCCACCGCCCACCAGCTCCACGTCCACGCCGGACAGGGTGGCCCCTTCGCTGGTGAACTGAGCGGCCACAGGGCTGGGCGTGCTGGGCCCCGACAGCGGCTCCCAGCTGACAGACAGGCGGCCGGAGCCTGGGGGGGCCTGACATTAGCTCCGCCGTACCCCCCCACCCCCAAACCCAGTTCAGGTCGAGCTGTCACCTGGGCTTCTCGGATGAAACGCTCTCGGGGTCCCTGCACCGTTTTTTTCAGACTGGATTGAATTTGGTGCTGTTTGCAAAGCAGACCTGCCCCAAGGCTTCTGCATCTACCGTGCACGTCCCCGAAAGTGACCACCCTCACTCTTCCTGCCCCCCCAGTGCTCTCCCAGCTTAAAGCACACCCCTCCACTCCTCTCCACCTCCCCGTGCACAATGGGAACTCACCCCCTGCCTCAGACACATCTGGAAGCTTCCACATGAGCCTTTTCTCCTCCAGGTTCCTGGCAATGAAAGAAACTTGGTCAGGTCGGGATTAGCAGATGGCCTAGCGGTTAGGTCGCTGGACTTCCATGGAGCTGACTGCCCTTCAAGCCCCCGGACCCAGTAGCTTAAAACTCACGCCTGGGGACCAGCAGTTAGCGTAATGGCTATGTCGCTGGACTCCCACATAGTCGACCCACCAAAAAAAAGACCCAAAGCATGGAGCACACCTTACAAGTAGAGAGCTCTCCATTTATTTTATTCATTTATATATATTTATATTTATTTATATATATATATATCTTTTTATTTTTTTAATACGTTTTGTCTTTAGGGTGTGTGTGTTTGCCACAGAGACAGACAGAGACAGTGAGAGGGAAAGTGAGAAATCACCCCCCCGGGGGGATGGTCACGCCGCAATCCCTTCTCCTCCATTCTCCGCTCGGGATCTTGGGCACGCACGCACATGCGTCCGGTGTGAGTTTCAAACCACTGGGTCCGGGACTCGAACCATGGTCAGCTGTGATGGTCCAGAGATGGACACTATCTGCTGCCCCCATGTCAGATGTTACCATTATTATTATCTTTGCCAGAGGGTGTGTGCGCTCAGCAGAGAGAGACAGAGAAGGAGGGAGAGAAGAAAGTCCCCCCTAAGGGGGCGTGGTCAGACCATTTCTCCACCCCGTCAGGATTTGGGGCACACATGCACACATGCCTGGTGTTTTTTGTTTGTTTGTTTGTTTGTATGTTGTTTTTGGCTTTTGCAATAGGGTATATGCGCTCACCAGAGAGAGATAGAGACAGAGGAAAAGCGAGAAATCACCCCCCGGGGGGATGGCCACATCACAATCCCATCTCCTCCCTTCTCTTGGAACTTTGGGGACACATGTACACGCACCTGGCATGACTTTCAAGCTGCCGGGTCTGGGATTCGAACCCCACAGCCAGCCATGTGGGATCCAGCTGCCTTAACCTTCATGGTACCTGCTGGCTCACCTGGCGTTTTTTTATTTTTTTTTTAATAATTATTTATTTTATTTTATTCATTCATTTATTCATTTATTTATTTTAATTTGACCAGAGAGAGACAGAGGGTGAGAGTGAGAGAGAGAGAAAGTGAGAAAGCAAGCCACCAGATTCAGGA